CGCACATTTCATTCGTTCCTGGTCCTGGCTATTATATTGACTGACTGTGAGGCATGCGGCATATACAGCCCGCCTCTGCCTGCGGCTGAAGTTTTGCTCGCAGCGTGGCTTGGCGTGGGTGATCTGGCTGGAGCCAGGCAGCAGGCGGGGCACTCCGGAGCCGTAAGCCGACTAACGACAAGCACTTCGTCAGGAGGGCAGCAGCTGGACGAGAGAGAGAGAGAGAGAGAGAGAGAGAGAGAGAGAGAGAGAGAGAGAGCGGAGACAGGGAGTAAATGGGGGGTAATGAGGTAGATGTCTCGTGGGCCCCAACGCTACTGTTGTGTGTGTGCTGCCACCTGTGGATTACGGCTGCAGTGCTTGGTTATGTGTTCTCGTCATTATAATAAGCTGCCGCAATAATGCGATTTCTTGTGCGGTCTGACTGTCGTGAATCAAGATGACAAGCGGAGCTCTCCGCCTCCTCTCAATACTCCGCGACGGTGTTCGCCCCGACGCACCCGCAGACTTGATCCAGTCTCTCTCTCTCTCTCTCTCTCCCTGTCTCTTGTGAGGTCTGTGAGATCGTTCGCCACGATTCGCCACAGCTCGGATTTTAACGAACCCGTCGTCTTGCCTTCACCACAGCTTTATATTGTTACTTTTTTTATGCATATATTATTTCGTTTTGCATTTTTTTTTCTCGCAGCAGCAGCAAGGCTTTGCTCCTGGTATCAGCGTGTCTGGTGGCCCGAAAAGCCCATTATGTTTGTGCGCGTGGTGTGGTGGGGCGGGGCGTAGCGGGGGGCGTAGCGGGGCGTAGCGGGGCGTAGCGGGGCGTAGCTGGGCGTAGCGGGGCGTAGCTGGGCGACGGGATGTCGTCTGGGACGAACGCCCTGCCGTCCGTGGCGGAGACCCGCGGACGTCCTCGACCGTCAGGCCAGAATGGAAGAGGGGAAAAGGGGGAGGGAGGGGGGGGCGTCGTCCCTAAAAGGTCCTGGTCTGCTCTTCGTTACCCCATTTTGGTTTTGCCTGCTCCTGAAAGCGTTGGTATGGTGAGGCGAGGCGTGGCCGTGGCGTGGTGAAGCATGGCGGGGCGTGGCGGGGCGTAGTGAAGCATGGCGAGGCGTGGCGGGGCGTGGCGGGGCGTGGCGGGGCGTGGTCGAGCTGGCTACATTCCATTAGAGAGCAGGGGCAGTGGGGGTGGCGTCCTCGGCGCGCACGACGGGATGCCAATTTAACCGGCGGAGAAGTAGGGGGGTGGGAGCGGGAGGCGGCTATGGTGGGGCGTCTTAACGAAGCACAGGAAATCTGACCATGAATGAGGAGGGGTGGCAGCAGCTGCAGTCAAGGGGAGGTGCGTGCTCTTTCAGGTTTGCAATCGATAGGTTGCTATGGGTTCTAAAAGGACTGTATGGAACCTGTTTTCTTCTTTTCATTCGTTCTGTTAGTCGGTTTTCTACTTCTTTCTTTTGTATTTTTCTTCCTCTTCCCTTCTTCCTCTTTTTCTCTCCCCTGCCCCACCTTCACCCCCCTCACGGCTGCTCGCACTCCATCTGTATGCCCGTGGCCCAACCTATTTTCTGCCCATACAACTTTCTCGTGTGCCCTCCTCCCCCTCCACCTCGTTTTCACTCCCCACGTTTTCTTCCCCTCTGCCCCTGCCATCTACCGCTCTTCCCCGCAACCAACGTTTTTTCCCTCCATTCCGTTTTCTTATCCTCCCGATTGCTGGTACCCCGCACAACGGCGGCACCTTTCTCCCCTCATCCGCCGTCCCCCTCTGCTTTGCACTGCTCCTCCCCCTTTCCCTTTACCCCCCACTTTCCTATTTGCCCGGAGCTCCTCGAGTGCAAATCGGAAACATTCGAAGCAACGCCGCTCACGGCAATACCCCTCCGAATGAGAACGGGAAGGAGAAGTGAATTTTGCCGTCGGTGTGACGTTCCAGTAAAAGTAAGTGGTCAAATGCGCGTTGCGCTCTAAAAAATACAAACATTTTAGTTAGCTAGTAATTTTTTTTCGATCAGGTGCGAAACGTTATGCATTCACACGGTTGCCAAAGGGTTCAGCGACAATTTACCGGTTTCAAGAACTCGGTCTTGTGTGCACTTACGATCTTTAACGACCGTGACAAATTTTGCGTCAAATCCATCGGTGCCACACTTTTGTCCCATTTGCTGGTTGTGTCCATTTGTGCAAAGTGGGACTTTGAAAAGTGGTTTAAAGCCGCCGCGTTGCCCTGCGAGGTAATAAAAAATGAATAACAAACACGCCCACCACCACCAAAAAAAGGAAAAAAAAAAGGTGTAGTGACGAGGTCGAGAGCTCGAGTGTTGGGGGAGGCAGGGTTGAAAGAGGGGGGGGGGCGATTGCTCGCTAATTGGGTTTCAGCCCCATTAGTGACCGCACGGGTTCGTCAGGCTGGCCTGCTGGCTGTGTCCGTG